TCTAAGTCAATATAATTTGATTGCAAATAGAATATTATATTCTGTACTTGAGGCTTTAAACCGTTGTTTACGGAACTTTGAAAAATAAACGATAGCAAGTAGGTATTTGGATGATGACTTTCGAGTAGCTCATTAACGATTCAAAAGAAGTGCTGTACTGCAAAATCAACTACGGTATCTGTTTAATTAAGGTTACAATAACCCGAGAAATTTCAATTATTCTATTTTAAAACGTAGGTAGGTACTGCATCGAATAAAAAAGGTTGGATGTTTTTATGTTTTATTCAGTATTTTATATTGTTATAATAAATTGAATTGAGTATCCAATAGGTATTGCTTTTCAATTTGTATTCTCTGAACTTTTCTAAGTAATATTGACAGTAGCTACTATAACTATATTCATTAATTCGTTAAAAAAAACCATCGTCTATGTTTCTGCCTTACTTTAAAAAAACAAAGTTTCTCAAACTTTAAGCCTGGTAAACTTGCCTGTTTTTTATTAAAAACTTTCGAGACATTTTATATGGTTTAACTTCGAACTCGTTATTATAATTAATATCAGCTTTTTACGACGTTTTTCTTAACACTCATGAATTTTCTGTCACTCCTCAAAAACTTTATATAATTTAAAGTTTGAAAGTTTACAATATCTGCTTGTATATACAATATACATAATACATCAATAGCAATATCAAGTAAACGAACATAGACAAGTGTTGAAGTGTTGTATAAAGTTATAAACGTATAATAAAACAATTTAAAATATATTATGAACATTTGATTCTATGATGGATTTTTTTATAAAAACAAACTAATATTATATACGTTTAAAATAAAATTAATACTAATAATAAGTAATACTAGTAATAATAAAATATAATTATTACTGTTGTTATTAAGCATCTCTCACACGCACTTACCTAGGTAATTAATCACTAACCTGATTAATCCTATAAAATTAATTATATGAATAATTGTAATTGTGATTGTAATTGTAATTTTTTTTTAAATTAATTGTATACCTAGTTAGTTTTAATAACAGATTACCTATAGGTAATATTATAAGTATTATTATTAATATACATAAGAATTACTGAAACACATCTCCCTCATTCTTTCGTGACAATAAAATGTATTGTCGATATTAATAATTTTAGTAAATTTATACTTATTTCTATCCAGTTGGAGAGGGGTGGGTTGGTTAATTCCCACTACACTTACGGGGTTTTAGAAGAGGGTTGTTGAACTGATTTAAAATATAAAGTTTACCAAGTTATATATTTTTACAGATCCTGTAAACTTATAACTATAAACACTAAACTAAGTCGAACACGATATAACCCATATAGGAATATAGTATACAAAAATATTGATAATTATTTCTATTGAATATAAATGAACATAGCACTTTTATGAGCTCCAAAGATATTAATCGAATTATTTTATGGTTGTTAAACCAAAATAAAAATATTTTTTCCACTAAATCATTTTCATAGAAAATTCACATAATTCATATAGGTAGCAATACCAAGTAATAATAATTAAATTTTATGTTCATTGACATCAAAATTCATAGAAATATAAATTTGGTTTTTAGCAAGAAAAATAAATGTTGTAAGTGAACCGAAACGCATCAGGTACCATATAATGTATAAATCAATACATGGAATTTCTTTACACGGTTCAAGTTACAATATACCCAAACAGAACTTTCTCAAAAACTGATTTATCTTTTTGGCAAACTGATTTTTCAAATATAAAGTACGTACACAAAACTGTGGAAGCGTGCAAATGAAATATAATCGGATTTGCCCGAAAAAGGCTGAACTATCGCGGTAACCGTTGCTGGGATACGAAACGGGACATTGCACGAAATGATGCAAAGCACATTTGTTGCCACAAAGATATTTGTGTACATTTTATAATATATATGTGAGCGTGTAAGCCTGTGACCTAATCCTGTGTGCACTGCCTTAATATCATGTACGAGACTCCGATAAAGCATATTTATGTTTTATTTCCACATGAGAATATTATGTCGGTTAAACCAACAAAGAGAGGTCGGAAAGAAATACGAAAATTGTATCACGAATATAGTCTTGGTGAATTACAGTTTATGTACATTTTATTATTTTAAACCGGGGATTGCATTTGAAAAAAAAAATTTCCTTCATATGTTATTTACAATCAAAACGTTAAACAATTTTTGCGTTTATCGTTATTTAGAATTAAAACGTTATTCAAGTCTTGTGTTTATCGTGATTTAGAATAGTGTTAATACCTATTAAATGTATTAATAATGACAACTATTGGCCCAGATACGGAATATAGTATAATCATTTCTAATGTAGGTATGCATGAAATAAATATTTCTAAGAAACAATTATAACTTTTAAATAAATGGATCTTAAATTTTTTCGTTTAATGATATTTTATAAACTACACTTTTAGTTATATTTTTTTTAATGATATATATAATATATTTTTTAATGGTTATAGGTATGTTTCGTTTTGTGGTATTTAATTATTCTTTTATTATCGATTCCACTATAATAACTTTACAAGTTTTAATCGTTTTTCGACAAATATAGTGTTATAATCATAACGTTATTATAACTTTTGCAAGCCCTGTTTTAAACATATAATATTACCTTTATACCTAAAGTAAATCTACTTTATACAAACTATAATGCATATATATATATATATAAATACTTAAGAGCCTAAGATAAATAGGTACTTATATAGTTATATTTAAATCCTTGGAAAAATTGTGAAATCAATATAGTACCAAGTTATATAAAAAAGTACTGATTTTGTAATTGAATTTTTTTTTAAATTTTCGTAAACTATTTGGAACAGTTTAATTTAACGGATTTGATCATAACTGACATTTTATAAAGTTAAAACTTAAAAGTACCTACTCAAGTATAAGTTGTCAATATGATTAATCTCATATTGAAATATATTTAGTTAACAAAGACATTTAACATGTTTCCATATTCCATTGTTAAGACAGGGTTTTCTTTGAGACGTTTGAGATGGGTCTGGAAAATGATATTGAAAACGTGTTGTTATTACTATTGTTAGAGACTTGAAGGGGAATAATTTAAGACAGTCGGTAACATTGTGATTTAAATCCATCAATACTATACTATAATACAATATATTGTAAATTATCTTACAATTTTTTCATATTCGTAGATATTAGGCATGTATAACATTTATTATCACAGTATTTAAAATTTGAACTTTAGTTAAAATGTCCTATACCTACTAGTATACTTGTATACTATGTCGATGGTAAAATTTAAAACAATTCAGAAAAACTAGTTAAATAAGTTAATTTGTAAATATATAAAGTTAATATACATATTAAGAGCAATGATTTTTTAAATAATATTAATAGGTATATATTAGGAAATATTATGGGTAGGTAATAAAAAGTTTAATAATGTACCTATAGATTAAGTTTAATTAAAAAATCTAGAAGACCAATGGATGTTATATTATTGTACCTACGGATCAGATAGGCATGTTTGTAGAGACTCGAGACTGTTCTGAAATTTTTATTGTATTTTTTTTCATTGAAACTAAACTCACATAGTCACAATAATACAACAACATTCAAAAAGTACAACAATAACAATGCGAGACTTATCTTTTACCTAGCATAAATCATAAGTTTTACAATAGAATTATAAACGTTTCTATACATGTTCTATTGTACTAGAACCCCTTAATTTATTAATATTATACGAGATTTAGTACTAAAGTTTACTTCACTTGGTTAGTTTGCATTTTAAATCATATAAGAAAGTATGTAGGTAAGAACTATAATGTTATAGGTACATAATATTATAATTCCTCTGAAATACTATTATATAATATTTAAATGTATTTTCAAGTGTGTACCAACATCATAAAATATTTTACTAGACCAAATACATAATAATATATTGTTTTATTAATTTAGGTAATTGAATAATTGAATATTACTTATGAGGACATTTATTTTTTACATTTCACCTATACTAATTAAAGTTACAAACTATTGTATTATTATTTTATAACAAAATACACAAATGAATACTTTTTGTGTCCATTTAGCACCACTTTAATATTATTTAGAAAAAAACATTATGAGTATTATGTGTTATAGTGTTACATCATAATATCTTTCCAAGTATTATGGAAGTACCTACCTACTAAAACGTATATTGTCTATATTATATCTATATTATTTATATTATGTTTGAAAAGCACACATTTCTGTTATTTTAATTATGTTTATTCATTAGTTTTGACAGTTATTATAAACGCATCGTTTAATTTAATATTAAAAAGGGTTTCAAACAACACAATTAGAATGGCGATTGGGATTTATGAAATTATAAATTGTCAACTTTATTTGCCTCCCACAAGAAAACCAACGCCTGACATTAAGTTGTTTTTAGATTAATATATTAGGAGAATATTTTATTAAGCACCTATAATAAAAAATAATATACCTAAAATAAACAAAACATAAAATTACTAGCCTAAGTTCCTAAACCGTTCTAATAATTACAGGAAATTACTTAAATATGATATTAGTAGGACTGGAAAGGCATATTATAATAGTTATTACCTATGTACGGCGTAGACAGAAAGTATAGTGGTAGCTGCACATAAGAAAGGAGTGTTGTTGAAATAATATTCCAATATTAACAATCACTTAACTGTCTCAACACGTTATTGGTATACACAGCTCAATAAATACAATTATCTATTATATCTATTATTACTATATCCATACCATTATACGCTAATCACGGTAACATTACCATAACCACTTACTATACTAAACTTCAATTTACTATACTAACACTTATTCAACATCTGCACAAAATGCACCTTTTCCAGAAGTTAAATTTGTCATAGCAGTATAGCACTATAAAATAGTCTTACTGCTTACATCATAATTTAAATTATAATTAATAATTGTCATCAATCTTTACCCGTTGAATGGAGGCCAGCAGTTTCTTTGGACAGTTGGTACTTAGACTGTTGTCCATCGGGTTTGGAGTTCATCGCGACGGCTGTCGGCTGTATCTGAAAACAGTTAAAAGAGAAAAAAACGGGTTTCAAACTATTCGCGATCATATTATGATATTGATATACGCTAATCATGTAACTAAGTATTATGTGTATGTGTGACGTGTGTGTATGTGTGTGTGTTTATGTGTGTGAGTGCGATAAGGTGAAATGCACAGAAGGGTCTTAAGTGGGATGTGTGCCGTGTGGGGAGTGTGGGAGAAGTTTAGGGGTGCAGTGTACCGACACAACATATTAATAATATTATATACGTCGTCGTCGTTTCGTTTAACGTGTGCCTGCAAAGGTTTATGTATATATACACGTCGTCGTGGTGCTGCAGGACTCGATGAGACGTATAGTTTGTCGCAAGAGGTACCTTGTATATTATAATATGATTGAATGATTGTCAATAAAATGAAACACAACTTATAATATGAGGCAAATAAAAATAACTCATAAAAAAATACGATAACAACAACAAATATATTTATAATAATAAAAATTCGTTACAGCATTTGTCACAAAAACGAACTTACAGAAATTAATAGATGGAAAATAATATAATGCTATATTTGAACGTGTCAGTGATAGTGGCGTCATCTGTGCAGGGAGGGAGAGGAAGGTTGACGAGTTAGAAATGCTATCCCATTGTTGTTTAGATCAGAATTTATACTTAACATTGAAATATGATATTATGATTCTGTTTTGTTATGTATTTAAATTGTTTTATATAACTAAATTGATTTCATAGATACATAATAACATTATAATATACATATTATACTGATTTTCATTTGTTGTTGTTATTATAAATATGTAAGCTAAATGCATTGATTAAATTATCCATTGCTATATCATATTTTACTTTTAAAAAATAGCAGATGATGTGTATATAAAAACATGCACCTACTCATGTACTAATAATAATTGTTCGACCAACAAGATAAATATATAAGCTCCTTATACCCTCTTAAATTGGCTGACAGTAAGGTTAAAATCAGGACATTTTTTATGGGCTGCAGATAACAAGAGTTATTAGAAATAATATGGGAAAATATGAAATTACGTCACTTGACAACTCGGCGGGGGCGACTGGTAGAGTCTATTTGAAACGATTATTGCAAAGATATAATAATTTTACGAATTCTGATTGCATAATAGTAATACTAAATACTAATAAATTGTATCATATTATTAATAATTTATTATAATACGGTCGTTGCAGCGGTAGACGGTTTTTCTGCCGCCGACGACGATGAGCAGAGTCTCGTATTTACCGGATTATTCGGAAGCGAATTTCTTCGCTGCAGAGACGGTAATAAGTCGTGTCGTCACGGCTAGACGATGAGCAAGACTTGTGGACTTGTGGTAGTGACGAAGTGGCACGGCAGTGGCGACGGTTCAGCGAGACAGTGGAGTGAGCTCGAAGACAGCAGTCGGCTGCAGACCAGCGAATGTCGTCGGAATGGATTTCGCCAGAGTGAAAACAGGGCACGTCGCGGTGTTCCCCCCCGCGAGCTCCGGGTCGAAGCCACCCCCGTCGGACTTACCGGGGCCCGGCGTAGGCGTGCGTGCCGCGCAAGCGCTCGTCATCCACAAGTCGACCGCCTTCCCACGGGCGTGAGTCCGCCTACAACCCCTTCATCCCCCGGAGAACCCCCCCGTGAAAAGTCCCCCCCCGGCCAGTCACCGGTCGCGTTTACCCCTTTTCGTCCACTCTAATCACGGCGGCGGCGGTGGACCTATATATATATATATAATATTATGCTGACTAATACGATATCGATTAGTTCGTAGGCAGAACGGCACGGGATTCGAGCCGCAGGACAATTTTTTTTCTCACCGTCGACCTTTGCGCGTATTGTACTCGCAGGCCTATATTATTATATTTGCGTACGCACTGAACTACCGAAATAAAAACACGAATCCGATGCTCTGATATAATTTATCGGCGGTGAATCCATATTCATTAATATTATCACATAAATATTCTGCCGACAGGGCGGACTTCATATAACAATATTGAATATATTAAATAAATACTTATAAAATATTATAAAACGCGTGGGGGGGGGGGGATAAGGGTGAACCAGGGAACCAGCTACTATACCCGTAAATCCTGTCAAAATACCCGCAATAATTTACACTAACCGAAATAATTACAAAAATGCTACATATATTGGAAAATATGGTTTTGAGAATTGCAATCAGAATAACTATTCTGTGCTACAGGTAAGTACCTAATCAAGGCTCCTAGAGTTTTTTCCACCCTATACAAATCTAATTTAAGCTGCCCTTATTCAATAGTTAAATTGTTTGGGGGAGAGGGAGGTATAAGTAAGTAAATATTAAAATAAATGTAATGTGAAAAAAATACGAGCCATATTTTAAGACCCACATGATAATGGCATTATACACCATCATAAATTATAAAAGTATATGAAATAAATACAACTACAATATCCAAAATAAATCAAATTAAATTTATTTTGCGAGCCTTTTTTGTGCAAGATCAGTCAATAAATGTTTAAACTCAAGATCCAACAGAAATTGGAACGTTTGTGGTAAAACTACATAAATCGAGTACAGCCTTATCAATTCAAAATATGCAAGAAAATGTTTGTATAGGCTAATGAAATACTAAAAATACAAATTAGTCAAAGACAATCAGCGAGAAAATTGTCCAATTTGGCTGACCAAGGATACGACCGATGCAGCTGTTCGTCTAAAACTTTATGTAAGACACACGACTACAAGAGCGTGGTTGCTAAAGTTCTGTGTGACTCTGGCACTCTGCAACCACAAAAGCCGTATAATAGTGGTTACTGGTTCAAATTATACAAATAAAGTAATAAATAATTATAATTAGTTTATTGCCACTTCAATGTACCTAATCATGGCAATGGTTCATGCACAAAATAATATCAGTTTTATAATTATAATAATATTTTTTATCTCCTTTGTCCACTTATTATTTGGCCATTGTGTAGAACGCCCGGATAATGTAAAACGTTTTCCTACCTTGATCACTAAAACTATAGGCACTTCGTACAATGCCACATTTTAGATTTTGATCGTAACATAGACAAAATGTGCATACAAATTCCAGTACAAATCATAAAAAAAAAGCCCAACGGCTAAAGGCATACTCCAATCAATAAGTATATGTATATTATTATTCTAAGTGAGAATGTGACATGAGCTTGTAATATTTATTTTGCTTTTAATAATAATGTGTAAGAATAAGACAGTATATTATACTTATTCAAATTATGAATACAATTTTCAGTTTCCACATAATATTACTCACTAATATAATAATATATGTATATAATATGATATTGCTGTTATATAAATAATCATATTTAATACTGATTTAAAATGAAATGAATTTAAATTGGAATTCTAAGTACTAGATTCTTCTTTCAAACTGACGATTTATATTAATGCGCCAGCTCTGTTAACACTTATTATTTATATTTTATGTGAACAATGAAGATCACATTCCAAAATTGTCATTGTTATTAAATATAGTTTCTGAACGTCAAACGAGTAAGATATCTTTAAAAAAAAAAAAAAACCGTCTTATTGTTTTGACGGGAATATTAATATTTAGTAATATATATAATAATAATCAGATTATAATACCTACGCATTTAAATATTTGAACGATTAAAAAATGCAATATGAGAAACATAATACTGTAGCATCATAGATTTTATTTGTAAAGAATTTCTTCGTTATAATAAGAGACCGGATTTTTATGTTTTTAAATATGTCTACTGATAGTTAATGGAACTCCAATTGGATAAGTTTCTCGACGATTGATTTTCCTATGATGTACAACATTTTTTAGTGCATTAAAAAATATATTTCTAGATTAAAGAATATTTTGTGCAAAATAATATGTTTTAAGAATATATTGCCATATTGGGGTTTAATTTGAACATTTTATAAAAATTGTACCTAATGGTTTATAAAAATATGCAAATGTTATGTGTGTTTTTTTTTGTGTAATAATATATACGCGATAAGTAGTCAATATAATCCTTCGATTTTCAAGTTCAGTATCTTTTCTGGTGGGACAGTGAATCTAGTTGGTGCCTAAGAATATTCGTCAATTTTTAGTAGTTTTTAAAAGCATCGGGAAAAACAAAAAAATAATAATTAAAAGGGGATTTTTACACAAAAGCACTTTTTCACAAAAACGACTTATTTTTTTGGGGGGTGACTAAAAAAACAATAATCATCGATATCTTAAATATCAACCAGATGTTTATATACCGTAATATTTTCTAAATATTTGGACCCTTTTTGAGCTATTTATAGGTATACAAAAATTTCGAATTGTATTCGTTTTTTTAAAAACTATTGTTTACAGAAACATTTTTGCTCAGTAAAAATACTTGAAAATGTAATACAAAGATCCTCATAGGTTGGTTTTAATGGAAATTAAAAAAAAAGTTGAGAGTAAATTCACAAACGTTTTTTTATAAGCATCTGAATTTAGAATTTTGACAAAATTCGTAAAAATCACGACTATTTTCAAATTATTTTGAGTTCGAAATTTATAAAAATGTTTCTATCTATACATAAGACTTGAAAATTGAAAACACTCTAAAGTCTAAATGATCCCTCTTAAGTTTCCTTACCTATATTAAAAAAAAAAAATTACTGAAAGTGAAACTATTTTTTTTTGACATATTTTGATTTTTCTTATTTTAGCCATAATTTAACGAATTTTCATCGAACGATTATCTTATTTTATTGTAATTCGGAAACAAATGCCCCTAGATACCTACTTGACATTTTCACCAGATGTGGATTTTATTATTTTATATAGATGATAATATTTGTAAAATATGGATACACGTTTTAAGCTATTTATAGATATTTACAATTTTTTATTTTTTATTTTTCTCCAATTAATATCAATAATTTTTTTTGTAAGGTCAAAAAGCTTTAAAATATAAATACCTAAGGATTGAAATGTA